TATTTCATTAGCTATGAAGCTATTTCATTATCTATTTTGTTAACTTTTTTACATGAATCTTTTTCATTACATATTTTACATGAGACTATTTCATTAACTATTTTACATTAATCTATTCCATTATGCACCCATTTCATGATACGTATATTTCAAAAAGAACAAAACTCATTATGCACCCGTTTCATGACCATCCTAACAACTGAACGGATCAACTTCAGATACAATGCATCATGGATCATAATGAAAGTAGTGCATTAATCTCGATTTACTTTATTAACTTTTTTACATGAATCTATTTCATTACCTATTTCACATGAATCTATTTCATTACCTATTTCACATGAATCTATTTCATTAACTATTTTATTAACTATTTTACAAGAATCTATTCCATTATGCACTCATTTCATGATACGTATATTTCAAAAAGAACAAAACCAATTATGCAACCGTTTCATGACCATTCTAACAACTGAACGGATCAACTTCAGATACAATGCAACATGRATYTYAATGAAAGTAGTGCATTAATCTCGAATTTGTTAAGAAAATGAAAACATTTCATTATGATGAATCTATTTCATTAATTATTTTGCAATGAAATCTTTCCACCTTCAAATTCTTACAGCAGATTAATTTCATGACGAACAAAGTCAATTATGCATTATTTCATTAGCTATGAATCTATTTCATGAATCTATTTTATTAATTTTTTTTCATGAATCTATTTCATTAACTATTTTATTAATTTTTTCATGAATCTATTTCATTAACTATTTTATTAATTTTTTTATATGAACAAGATATCCAGCAGATTCATTGCATTGCAAATAATTAAAAATAAAGATTTTAATAATATATTATAATAAAAGTTTGAAACGTTACCATTTTTCATACTTTCTTCTATTAAATTTGCCTTAAATAAAATATATTACTAACTTCCTTAATTATCAAAAAATTGTGTAAAATAACATAAATAACCTTATCAATTAAATTTAATTAAAAATAAATTGAATTTTCTTATTGGTCGAAATTGGTTTACGCGGTTTTTAAGAATTGGATGGTTCGCATTTGAACCTGATAGGAGCGTTCAAATAAAAACCGTCCCAATTCTAAGAAACCGTGTAAACCAATCACGTCCATCCATTTTATTGATCAACGATTAAGATTATTTTAGTTTATTTAAGGAAATAAAAAAAATACATACTAAAAATATAATCTTATATCATCAATAAGGGTAAATGTGTAAAAGATTATTTTAGTTTATTTAAGGAAATAAAAAAAATATATTAAAAATATAATCTTACATCATGCACAAGTTTCATACACTTCAATGATGAAATTATTTCATTGCAAAACGCATACATTATGCACATGTTTCATCCTCACATTCACCTGCTAATGATACAACTAAATCTTAAATGAATCGGGTAACTACGCAAATGTTCCACCACTCCTCGTATGCGTTAACATCATGAACCAGTTTCATCTACACGAAACTTGTTTCATCATCATATTACTTGCTGACGAACCACAAACATTATGAAGAAGTTTCATTGTCACATTACCCAACTATATGGATCAACTAAACCACAAAATGAATCGGGGTCACCAAGCAAGTATTCCACCGCTCATTGTTTATCCCATGTCATGAACCAGTTTCATGATAATGGGATCTTGTTTCATCATGATGAAACCTGTTTCATTATTTTGAATTTTTTTCATCAACCACAATGTTTTTGAATGAATTCAATCACGAACTTACAATCTCCAATAATCACAATCCAGATTCACTTGGATTAGATTGTATTTACTTTTAATTTTTATTATCATAATATAATTACATATTTAAAAATTACCATTTTTAATAATTTCATTATTACTTTTCCATAATTAATACTCCTTAATCATTTCCATATTTAATAGAAATAACTTAAATGACCGAAATACCCTTAATAATTAAATTTAATTAGAAAATAATGTAATTTTCCTATTGGTTGAAATTGGTTTACACGGTTTCTTAGAATTGCACGGTTTTCAATTGAACGTGCCCCTATATATATATATATATATATATATAAGTCTAGAGAATTGAGTAATAGTCCATATACACCCTTTAGTCTCTTAGGGTGTCTTTGGTACACTGAACAGGGTGAGACAGGACAAGACATAACACATTTGTCCCATGTTTTGTGTGTCTTAATGTGGAACAGACATGGACTAAGTAGAACAAGCATAAGACACGCATGTCCCACTCCACCCCCTAGAACAAGATGGAACAACCTCATTTATACCAAAATACCCTTGAAAAAGACTAAACCTAAACACGCCTCACTGAACGATTCATCAGATCGACCCCATACCCAACTATTCATCAGATCGACTCCATACCCAACTATTCATCAGATTGATTCCTCCATACCAATCGCTTCATCAAATCACTTCCTCCATACCAGCCGATTCTTCCATAGCTATCGATTTCTCTCATCAGATCGGTTCCTCTTTGTGATTTCTCCATACCAATCTATTCATCAAATTGATTCCTCCGTAGCTGTCAATGTCCCCAATTAATTTTTCTTTGTGATTTCTCCAATCGATTTCTCTCATCAGATCGATGAGTCCCTCCCTTAGGTTTATATGATATAATTATAAAATTATTTGTTAAAGGAAAAACTAAATAGATCAATAGTAAATAGTAAATAGAGGCAATGAATCTGTAATTCTCACCAACTAAAAACCCTTTAAATAAGGTCGAGTTACAAGTAGATAACTACATAAAACATTAACTAATCTATCTCTAATATGTTTATCTATATCTATATCGTCACAACCTTTAGACGATGGCCATTCATCCTGCAACACTTCCCCTTGTGTCAAGTCAGATGAGTGATGATACACAATTGTTCCCAAAATCGTTTTAGATAATGATTTGGTAAGCAAATATATCACATTCTCCTAGCATCTTACCTGATTCACTTGAATCTAGAGAAGAGTTTGTTATTGCTAATTGTAAAAAAGCTTAAGCAGAATATGTTTTGTGTTATCACCCTTGATGTATCTTACTTTCATTTTATTGATACATGCATTATGGAAATGCATTATTTCCATATATGTAAGTAGGATATTGGTTGAACTCAAAATACTAGTTCCTCTAATAGTGTAATGATAGTCTTTAACCATGTACACTCTTGAACAGTCTCATGCAGAGTAATATTCTTGGAATAGTTCGAGGAGGTAGCTACAAGGTTTTGCTTATTTTACTTCTAAGAAATCAACATGTTCTTTATGGTAAGTTCTTATCCAGTTTGGAAACAACCTTTGTATATGTTAGGCAGATATATAATATCAGCAAAAGACATAGCAAGAAGTTGTTTGGTGTATTTTTCTATAAAGATTGGTCCTTTTTGCCGGTCACATTCTAAGTAGATATTGAAGGTTCATTATCAGTCTCATTACGCTTTTTAACAAAGATGTATCTATGTCCTACAGGCTTTATACTTGGTGGGTTAGCACTACCAGGCCAAATACCGTTTCAATTGTCAAAGAATATAATTCTTCCTTGATTGATTATTTTCAATTAAGCCAATTCAATTCTTTGTTGACATTCTTCAACTAAACATGGTTCGATATCACGTGCTCTATCATCTCATGAGCAATGATATATACGAATAACTCATCAATGAGTATGTATGATCTGTTTGTTGACTCGTATGCATTCTCATAATTCATTTGAAATATCTTTGATCTCTAGGGTTAATATTAACTTCGGAGTGTCCTCAGTAGCATGGAGTCACTGATAACATAACCATCTTTTAACTAGTTATAATAGAAGACTTAGGGGCCGTTTACCTAAACACTTACCCGGTAAGCGCTTAACGGTAAATTTCAACTCCATCTCTTATTTATCGATTAAGATTTTAGTCTACAAAACGACATCGTTTGTAATAATTTACCCAGTAAGCGCTAACCGTGGTAAGAGTCGTCGCCATCACTTACCGGGTAAAACTCTCGGTTCGTGTCTTCGCTCTTACCAGGTAAGATTCTTGGTCCTTGTCATATTCATTTGGTAAGAGAATGTGACTTGATAAGCGCTTACCCGAGTAAGCATTTGGTAAACAACCCCCTTAAGTCTTGGTCCTTATCATATTCAAATGGTCAACACGACCTTGGACACACAATAATATGCTTGCGTGCGAACTCCATTGATTAATGTGAGGCGAACGACTGGTCAAAACAGACATTGGATACGAGCTTCCAAGCGCGTGGCCTTATGTGTGCTATCATCCGTACGAGATTGGGTATGCAACCCAACGAGCTCGTGTTCATTATAAAATTTTGTTCTTCATGCGTTGTGAACCGAATTTGCATTCATGCTCATTTCCACTCGTTCACCACTAATATGCATATCGTCAGCACAAGACTCTCGAACTTCAATTTACGCCTTATTTCGGAATTTAACCCGTCAATCATACTCGAGGCATAAAATTGGTCTAAACTCACTAATTCCATGCCTATTTTGCATTAGTCACTTACAGAATCAGGCACAGTTTCTGTTGTTTCAAAATCAACTCTTTGTTATGTTTTTCTCTCTACTAACTTAAGAAACATATATGGAGTTTAATCTTTCCCTTCCAACCATTCCATCTTTTATGCCCTTCAAACACACACACATATATATATATACATATATATACACATATATATATATATACATATATATATATATATATATATATATATACACACATTGTAACGTTATACGTTGTGTGAGATATAATGAACCAAAGAGACATGTCAAGATAAAACTACAATCGAGCATAAACAGTTATCTGACAATATGTTAGTTCGATTCGGTCATGTTGGTTACGACAAAACCAATGGCACCCGTAATGTCTTTCGACGACCTCATGTACAGAAATACTTATACACTGAGTTATATATAATAATTCATCTTTTGATAGCTAAATAGTTTAAAGGAACTGGTTTAACTCTTGTTACAACTTTGAGCTGATCTTTCCTGTTTAGAAAAGAGCCGCAAGCACCCGCCTCCCATGAAGGGCGGTGAAGAGTGGTGCCGAGCGGTGAAAAGGGTGGTGGAGTATGTGCAGATTCAGTGTTTCTCCTTGAGGTGTGCAACCGGAACGAAGATGGTGTTGGTATGGTCAATAGATGTTGCTGTCGTTTTAGCTCTTCGGTTTGGTGTTCTCAAAAGTAATACCTGTTTTAGTTTCTCCATCTTTGTCTTTAAAAAACAAAGCTTCTCCATTTGGGATTCTGCTGCTGCTACTGCTTGTTGATCATCGCCTTCACTGCTGCCACCGATGTCAACGGCTCTGATTTTTTCCTTTTTCACATTTTCTCTTAACATTTTCAAGCTCAAGTCGTCATCTCCAAGATCTTCATTACCATCAACCTTTAAAAAGTTCCAGACAAATGCCAAATTGTTAAAAAAAAAAAAACTTGAAAGTTCAAAAAGAGGGAGCCAAATTTATTGGCCTACTGTAAATGACGAATAGATACCACCTATCAATGCATCATGTAGAAAAATCATGTGGGTAGTAACACAATACTCTCTCGACCATACTATTCCAGAAAAGTAGAAATATGAGTAACATGAATGGGCGCCATACGGTTATTTTATTACTGTAATCTAAAACACGTCAATATTTTGACAAATGACTTCTACCAATCGGTACATCTAGATGTATAAGAGTTATAACCACATTAAGGGAAGGGACAGTAGTGTCAACTGTCAAATAGAATGCGTCATTAACATATGCAGCCATAAATGCTTCCAAATATCTGCTTTCTTTAAAATTATCTTTTTGATCCCTTGTAAAAACATAACTTTTAAATTAGATATGGATTCTCGTATGCACCATAACCCAAAATTCTTGTATGTGGTAAAATGGTCATTTTTATGTAGAAAATAAGGGGTCATTTACTAAACACTTACTTGGTAAGTGCTCACCGGATAAATTTCCTTATCAGATGAACATGAGAAGGGCCAAGAATCTTACCGGGTAAGAGCGATGAAAATGATGGAATCTTACCCGGTAAGTGAGGATGACGACTCTTACCCAGTTAAGCGCTTACCTAGTAAATTGTTGCATTCGATATGTTTTGATGTACTAAAATCTTGCGCATCAAAATAAATCATAGTGTTGACTCCTATAAATAAGTGCTTACCGGGTAAGCAATTGGGTAAACGGCCCCTAAGTAAACACTTGTGTTTCAATTAGATCAGGACAGTTGCAAATTATCTGGTAAGAAGAGTGTGGTACTTGGTTCCTACTATTATCCATTCTTAGTTGGATAGTTTGTTATCATATAACTTGTTTAAAGAACCATTCTTGGCATAATAAAATAACTGAGTTATCATCCATCAAACTTATGGAAAACACAACTACCAACTCCATGGAGTCAACTAGTTCATCTGTTAAGTCCTATATGCTTATCACTGGACATAGGTTGAATGGATAGAACTATCTGAAGTGGTCTCAATCTGTGAGGCTTGTATCAATAGAAGAGGAAAGCAAGGTTATCTGACTGGCAAAGTGAAGAAACTAAAGAAAGATGATCATGGCCGGAACATTATTGGGATTTAAGAATTCACTCGTTACAACTCACAACATGGCTTCTCAACTCGATGGAAGTATCATTAGCCTAACTCCACATGTTCATGAAGACTGCTAAAGATGTATGGGATTCAATTTGAGAAACCTACTCAGATTTGAAGAATTCATCACATATCTTTGAGCGGAAAACGAGACCATGGAAGTCAAAACAACGAAGTGGAGATGTGACAAGCTACTACAATGAAATGGCACATTGACATATGTGAGAGTGTGTAACACTCGGAATTTCTGTTACTATCTTTATTTTGAATTCATCTCTAAATGTAGTTCTCCAGTGTTTAAGTTGAGCTGCTTTGAATGTTTTTGGGGGTTTTAGTGTTTTCACTTCAAAACTCAAGGAAATGAACTGATAAGGATGAAACAGTGGGTCGTGCTAGTTTCAGCGCTAGTTTCAAAGCTAGTTTCAGCACTAGTTTAAGTAGCAGTGAAACTAGCGCCAGACACTATTCAATTTCATTCATGCTCGGGCGACTTTCAGTGTTAGTTTAAGTAGCGGTGAAACTAGCGTGGAAGCTTGTTTGGTGCAGTAAGGTCATAAAATCGGGATTCCAGCCTAATTTCTCACTAACACTTTCCCAACTCAAATTTCTTTCCTCTCACTTCATTTACTCTGATTTTGGAGAATTTATTTCCATCTTCCAACCATTTCCAAGGCATTAAAACCACATCTAAGTTAAAAGATCCAAGCCTAGAGTTCAAGATTCAAGTGTTTTCCATTTCCAAGTATTTTGTGATTTATAGGTTTTCACACAAAGCCTAGCAATGTGAGTTCATCCTACACTTTTATTAAACCATATACATGTTAAAATGATGTCTTATACTTCCTCTAAGTTTCTATTGCAAGTTTTATACATTTGGTTGATTTTGGACCATTTTGGTCAAAGTTGAGGATTTTGGGGATTCTACATATTTTGATAAATCAAGTGTGAGGAATGGTTTTAAATACTTGGGGAATGAACTTGGAACCGAAAACTATAATGTTTATATCTTTGGGATCGTATTTGATAAAAATGGGATTTTTACCCACTTGAGGGTAATTTGTATACAAGAGTATTTATGTTGGTGAAGTGCTGATATGTCTAGATAGATATTTATATATAAAAATGACTAGAATGTAATGGATCCATAGGCATATAAGTCAACCTACGTTGTTAAGATGAGATAAATATTCTCATACTATGACTAGATACGGGAATTATATCACCGGGGGAGTCAAACTACAAACTGTGGGTAGTTGAACTCGACGACTGTGTGACCCATAACGATCTATTTCTAGCAAAAGAGCATATCTTAGTCATTGGAGGATTTGAACTACAAACCATGGGTGGTTGGACTCGAAGACCAATGTACCGTAATAAAAGCTCTATAACATTGAAATGTGGCTTACTTTGTGTTGCGTCACTGTCAATGGTAAATCGGGATCTCAGAATGCTTTTCACCCTTCCAAGGGTAAATATAACTTGCTTGTACGAAATATCTTGATTAAAGCTATGTTTTACATTTTAAAGTTTTATAGCTTCACTCAATAATTGTTTGTTCTCACTAGACATCAAGCCTAGCACTTTTTCTCAAATGACATGTATATCATGCTCTCTTAGCAGTGGGGCTCCCAAGAGTTGAGTGAAGTATTGTTGCCGGTAGAGGCGTTTTTGGATTTACATCTTGAATGTAATTGTGTAGTTACCAAACACTATTCTTTTGAGGATTTTATTAACACCCGAATGTAATCTATATTTCGACTCGATGTAGATTATTAGGTTGTTGTCTAGCATCCAATCTTCAGATGTAAACTCTTACACAGTTTCCCCATTCTTGGGTGAATTTTATATTTACTAAACTATTTTCCCGTTTAAGCATTCGGTTTAAATTGTCTTCTATTTAGGGGGGTTACAATGTGACTGACTGTACTTGGCAGAAGGAATCCTAGTCAACAAACAACAATGTCAGTAGGCAGGTTAATTTACTTGGCGCATAGATATTGCATTTGCTGTAAGCATGGTCAGCCAATTTATGCATTGCTCATATAAAGAGCTCCTTGAAGCTACATGCTGAATACTCAGATATTCGAAGAGTTGTCTAGACAAAGGTCTCTTATTCAAGAAAGAAGATAGCATATTTGTGAAAGCATTTACTGATACAGATTGGGGAGGATCTGATGATAAAAGATCGACTTCTTGCTATTGCACAAATATACGGGAGAACTTAACTACATGAACAAGTAAAAAGCAAAATGTAAGGAGCAGTGTAGAGGTTGAGTTTCAATGTATGGCTAATGGAGTAAAAAGCAAATAACTGAAGACAGAAAACAAGCTACCTATGAAGTTCTTTTGTGATAACAAAACAGCCGTAGGTACTACAAACAATCCACAGTACAAAACAAAAGACATATAACTTGACAGACACTTCATACGGGAGAATCAAAAAGCTAGGATTATATGTATTCCGTTTGTTACTATAAAGGATCAGACAGCAGACAACTGGCTAAGAGATTATTTTTCGAACAGCTTTTGAAATACTTGCAACCAAGTTGGGCATGTATGATATAGACGCGTCAACTTGAGGAGAGAAAATATGTAAATACTTATGTTTAAATTAGAGCTAATAACAAGTCTAGTAGTTGTTCCTACTTTTATGTATCCTTAACGTGGATAGTTTGTCATCTTGCAACTTATTTAAAAATCATTCTTGGTCATAAAAGAATAACTGAATTCCCATTCACCAAACTTACACTATACTATTAGGGAGACAAAAGGTCTAATTTATCGTTTTCTGTTTGAATTCCAATTAACATTGATGTTTAATGGAACTCACAATCATTTCATAAAGAAACCAAGAATTATGCTATTTAATGAGCTGTTTACCTCCCTTGATTTCCTATTCAACTATTCATGACTCGACAATTCGTTATTGGCACACTGAGATATACACAAGAATTGTAGAACAACCATGGATATATAGTCAAACTGTTGAACAACACAATAAAGTGTGGTTGATCTTTTTGTATGTGATTATCGATCCTAAAAAGTCAGAGAAACAACCTCTGCATGCAAAATGCAAGAGAAAGACGGCATACAAAGACTTCCTTCTCAACCTTGGTGCTCTAGGACGGTTTTCTAGTGACAAAATCAGTTCAAACAGTAAAGATCTTGTAGTGTGCATTTCAAGTCGAGGGTTTTTCAGGATATGTACATGAAGTTCAAAATTTTCTTTTCGAGACTTGAAGCTTTTGCAAATTATTAAACTGTTTCCTGCCGCATTGCTCAAGTGAAAGGCTACAAATATATATATATATATATATATATATATACACACACACACACATCAGAATCTAAAAGTATTTTCACTAGATCAGTGGGATAATCAGAATCTAGATACTAATTGGAAGTTTAGAGCAAAAATTACCTTGTTAGTTGATGTTGTAAGATTAAACTCCCTTTCAACCTGCTGCTGCTTTGCAGTACTAGTTGGTGATTGAGGATTCTTTCTCCTACGGAACTTTTTCATATGTCCGTTCCCAGGTGTATGGGCCAAAGTTGTGGGCATATCCTCCGATAGAATTTCATCAATAGCTTCATTCTTTGCAGGTTCTGATCCAGATTCTTTTGAAATAGAAATACCATCATTTTGAGTTGGATTTTCCTCCCCTGCCTGTGTATTTCCCATGAGATTCAAACACAACTGATAAGAATTCGTGATTTAAAACAATATTTGGAGAACCAGGTAAATTAAAAACATAGAACATGAATTAAGGAAAACGCTAAACATGTCGAAAGGATTGACAAATAATTTAAGAATAATTGATCACCAAGAAATTCAGTACTCGTTCTTTCACAAAACATTATCAACATAAACACACTCGCAAAAGTATTTGAATTATGTCAAAAGTTTCATTAATCCCATGATTACACACTGTTGATTAGATATTGATTTGAAAGCCAAAAGAAACCAAAACAATATTGTGTTTCTTTTAAGATTTGGCAATGTCAAACAACAGAATGAACACAAATAAACATAAAAATCCATTGATTAAAAGAACAGAGTTTTTCATGATGGTTTGAATGCAAAGAGTTAATGTGGGCCTCCCAAAATTTAACTGTAGCCTTAGTTTTGGGAAAATGTTCATAATGATGGTTATGGACTGAAAGGGAAAGGAGGAAAAAGATATAAAAGAGCTGATTGCTAAATTCTGAGGCCATGTTTTTGGAAGAAAGTCACAATCAATTGTTATCGAATATAAGAATTTAAGCATCAATTCTGAACTCCGACTTTTTTACAGTTTCAGTGATCAATTGAAACTCTCAATGTGTTTCTACTTATAAGGGGAAAAAGTACATAATAGATTCGGAAGTTTAGGTCAATAAGAAAAAGATGCTATGAACTATGCAAGTATGCAAATAACAATGCAAGACTATGATGCTAAAACGAACCCTGCAAAGTACAGACTCACCCTCTTGGTTTTAAGTGATAGGTAGCGCGCATTTTTGAACCACTTGTTAACCTGAGAAATGGCACATGACATTCATCACACTTCAAAGTGAAACTGATACCAGATGTTCAATTTGTTGTTCATAATCAACCAAAATTTATGCTTCCCATGAGTATGATAATTTTTTTCATGATAAACTAGTGTTGTGTTATAATTACTGCCTACATGAGTCCAAGTAATTACTAATAGAAAAACAATGGTGTGTTTATATGCAACCACTACCAATACATTCTAATCTTTGAACTTGAAAAGAAACTTGATTCAAATTGAGATTTGAAAATCACCAGCTTGATGCAAAAGCAGTCAAATGTATCTCTACTTTTTTAAATGAGGTAGTAATAGACTGTCCTATAGGTTACCTAAATCAGAAGGAAATTTACCAATTTCACTTGGAATGGTTTGTACTAGAACTTTATTAAAAAATTACGAGCCATGCCTCATTGAATGGCATGAAATATGCATAAGGCAAAATAAGATGTTCAGAACACTAAATTGTACATCTTATTCATTTTAATATCCTATCCGACTGACTTCAGTGTAATGAGAGATGATTTCTAGAGGGGAACGAAAAAACCGATCTACTTGCACATGTCCAAATGAATCAACCGCCGACCTCTATTTAAGTAAAAGTGAGCAGTGCCAAAGTAGTAAATTTAAATGGTCATTGGTACTAAATCATAAATTGAATTTCAGTACTAATTGTCATTATGAAAGTATTACCTTTTCAAGGTCGAGACCTAACTGCTTGGAAAGGTCTTCTTTAACAGCTCGAGAGGGGAGCTCATTCTTTGCAAAAACAAGGCGAAGCTTCTGATATAATACACAAACAAGGAACAATAAGAAATATAATTGCCACCTTATAGTAACAAGTAATGGCTTCCGTAGGGGGGAAAAATTCAAACTACCTCTACAGCTTCAGATGGAATCCTGAAAAATGATCGTTTAGTTTCTTTGCACGATAAGTTTGTGTCAACCTTGGAGGTGTCAGGAACATCTTTTACACTTTTCTCCTCAGTTTCACAAAGAGTCATTAGGGTACTAGCTGCATCAGACTCTTTTTCTCTCCGTTTTCTGTTAGTAGGACCCCAATCTTCATCTTCACTTGCTTGTTCATTTGCAAGAGCATCTTTTCCAAACATTTCCTGTATGATATAGTATTAAAAATGCATTATACACATTTTACAACACAGAATCCTCTTCTCACAGCTAATAAGCTATATTACCAAACAATAAAAACTAAAAATATAAAAGGAATTTTTAGGTTCCATACTTTTTCAACTGAAAATAAAATTATAAAGAAAACAGTTACATATCTAACTTAGATAATGAATAATCAATGTACTCACATCATAAAGCTTTCTATAATCTACCGCTTGACGTTGTCGACGACCACTCACAAATTCACAATCAGAACCAGAACCAGAAACCGCACCAATTAAGTCAGCAGAGATGCTTTCAAGGCCCATATCTAACTTCTGAGATTCATCATCAAGAGCTTTAACATCCAGTGACTGTAAACTATAGCTGCTGCTGGCATCATCATCACAAGACTCGCCTTCAGAGCAAACTCTGCTACAACTACTGTCACGTTTTTCAACTCTGTCCGGATCATAATCATCATCGCCAGAATCATCTGAAGGCCATTCTTCTTGATTGAGTAAAGTATTGCCACCATCAGGTAATGTGGCTTCCACCTTAAAAATCTCCTGTTTCAAACACAAATGTGATTAAATTCTAATGACGAGATTACAGTCCTTCCCCCCACTTTTCTCGAGCAATCAACTCCACAAGCATGTTACAGTAACATTATTCAGTAATGCATGTTTGAGAATCTAAGGCTCATTTCATGGAAATTTCTGGCCAAAACATTCTATAACAGATTTATAATTATATCTGAAATAACATTTTTAGAAAATGATGTTCAAAACGAATTATCTATATTAGACATCAAAAAATAAGATATGAAGGAGGGATAACAAAATTCCCATATTATCTGCATTAGACATCAAAAGGGTGATTTTGAAAATTTGGCTAGTGATGAACTAAAAGGATTTAACTAACAGGTCAAACTGGTCGATATATATGAAAGTAACGACTACCTCTGATCAGATGCTGGTATGGATACCCAAACTAAAACCGCCACATTGTTAACTTGTCCCCAACCCTTCCACCACCTAAACCTCTTCAACCAATCCCCCCTCCTCCCCCTTATGCCAATAACCCTGCCTATCATACCCCACCACCACCCTTGTGCTCCCACTTTCCCGGTTTTACGCAACCCCCTTTAATGAACGAACTACAAACCATTGTTAATTCAAAAAAATTCTGTCCTATGAAGATTTACCATGCTTAACATTAGCACAAAATTTGAACTTTTTAGACGTCCTTCTGAAATTTTCAAGTACTCTTTTGTCTAAGAAAAAAAAGCATATTTGACTAATAAGTGTTCAATTATGTTACCTTTGATTTCAGATAAAAAAAATAAAAACTATTGTTGTCGATTAGAGAAGGATTTCCACATTGAACATAAAAAATAGAAATAAAAACTTATTACGGCAACTTTTCATTTTCCATGCAAAACATAGTTTAAGTTCTGCAAAAGATTTTCATCAACAAATCAGAAAACAGGTTAATAAATAGACCAAATGTTTGAAGTTTAATGTCTATATATTTAACTTTGTTTTTATGATGCTATAACTTTTGATCGTTATTCATGAAATTTTTTTTGAATATTTTGATATGATTGATATTTCAATATGGTTTAGTTTTTCTTCTTACCATCAAATTATGTGCTTTTCCTGAAATAGTTATTCTTTTGCAATAAATCAAAAATGGCATGGAAAATGCTGGTTGAGAATCTGTTTGACCCAAGACCGGCCCAACCCGTTTGTGCAATGGTCCATGGTGACTCATTTGACCTATTGATTTAACTCATAACCCATTTGGACATATTATATAATCCAACACCAGCCACCCATTTGCCACCTCTAGCATTGACATGGCACGAACTAAAGTAAACGGGATAAGTGGCTAGATGGAAGCCTCCTAGCTTCTAACAATTCACACTTACATGGGGAGTGATATAGTGGTATATTACTGTGCAAGACCAAATAAAGTTCATTATGAGTGGTAATATAATACAACAAGACAAGGAGGAAGAGTTGAACTCTAGCCCTTGCAAAGACATGAGCTCAAATTACAAATGAAGTCACCTACTCATCTAAACTTTTAAGCTAGTAAACGAAGGCCTAACATATATCTAGTTACAATGCCACACAGATTTATTGAAGGATAATGGAAGGTGAGAAGGAGATAACTAAGTAATTTGGGATCGTACCGGTCAGCAGATATATCATTAATAAAATAATGGCTCAAAAGGAATTTGAATTATTCTATGAAAAGGGTATAATACTCAATAATATAAAAAGATAGAGTCATCAATCATGTGAACAATTAGTGACATCCTAAATCGAAAGCGAAATGATTGTTATGGAGTGGGATGGCAACGTGGAACAACATAATGAGTTTCACCAACCTGCCAATTGCTATCATGGGGATAACTTGTTCCAAGGTGTGCATTCATGGCCTCCATGATTTCAGTCTTACAAATGCAATATTTACAGAACCAACCTTGGTCTCCTGGGGGAACTGATTAATCATAGAGATAACATTTAAATCAAGTTTCAGAAAATTTTAACATAAAAAATTTGACAAGATGAAATAATTGGTAAGTTTTGAGAAGAGCTTACTGTTTTCAGTTAAAAGGGGAGGGTCAATGCACATTTGGTGAAACGCACAATTGCAAGTCCCATCACACAGTATGATGTCATTATCAGGAAATGCATCCCTCAGCTTACACTTTGCACAGTGTATCTAAATATAATAAAAATAGAAAAAAATCATCATTCTTGTGATCAGGATTGAAAGCCTAAAGAGAGCTTTGAAGAAGTGGTTGAGATAAATTATCTGCTAGTCCCCTCAGCAAAAAGAGGCCTGCTCTTGTTAGCTATAGATGGTCCAATACTGAATAAACGAGTATCTCCTCTAGATGGAAGAAGATTCTCTTTGGAAAGTAATTTTAACACAGCTTACAACTTTCATCATACTGTGCTCTCCAAAGAGTAACTCTTCTCAAAATCTCACTCAAAAGGTGCCGAGTTGGAATCCCATTCTAATTCTAACTATGGATTCTTGTGGTTAAAATTACACAAAAACAGAGAAATCATAGATTTTGGAAAAGAAAATTAAAAAAAAATGTGATTAAATTTTCTTCCTGGTTTTCACGAGGAAAAGAGAGGTACTACTTAACTTTTGAGTTCAAAGTTCAAACAAATTACCTTTCAAAAAACAATATGCATGGTCTATAACTACATTGAACTTAAGGGCATATACTAAAAGAAAAACACTGGTACACAAGGGTCCTCAGGTTTGCAAAGGTTGCAGAAGGAATCTTTGTATTCAACATTTTATGACATGTACTATAAGTAGAAAGAAAGAGCGGCTAAATTGGTAAAAAATCCATATCATCTTAGAATTTAGCAAGTTTTTTGTTTGACCTCCAAAGTCAAAGTGTACCACTGTTTTGGAGCATAGAGCATAAGATTAAGAATAAACCTCGTCCTTACCGTTTTGGCTACTTTGAGTGTTTACATGGTAATGTATTTGTTTTATGTAACAACAAAAACTTGTGATTAAGTTTAACTATTTGGATACATACATGTTCATGATGTACAGATCCATCCGGAGCTATTACAGATTCATCAATGCATCCATCTGAGCTAAGTAAATCCAGCTGGCGTAAGGCATCACGGATTCCAAGTTTACATTTCAGTATCTGCTTTTTGGCTCTTTGAAGTTCCTTCTCCGGCTTAATCTTTTCTCGGCTGAATATAATAACAAATTTGAATTTAGCAAGAATTTTTCTAGGATAAGTGACAAAAACTACTATCAAAAGGAAACACTACCATCAGCATCCACTTAAGTTCACATTTTTTAACAAACAAGAATTAGCTATTTTTTCTGTAGTCTCTTAATCTTGCCTTCAAAAGGATGTGTGTTAATAAATTTTCTAGTCAAACGATGTCACAAACAAAATAAAAACATTATCCAACATGAAAGTATACACACACCTCTTCCAACAAAGCAGGCTCTATTTCCAAAAGCATTTCAAAGATACCAATTTTCCTAATTTGCTTTACTATTTCTCTACTCACTTCACTGAACATGACCTCTTGTAGAAGTACTTGGATACGGGAGGATCAGGGTAGCAGACTAGATATGGAGACCTGTAGCTAGCGTGGTTGGGCAGAAGGGAGTTGGAGATGTAGGGGGTAGAGGGCTCGCAGTTTAGACTAGAGATGTGTCTTTGCCTTGCTTGCTCAGTGTGTTTTTTGCCATACATTACCCTTGGTTCGTTTTCATGTAAGTACCTACTCCTTATTTTTTCTTAAACTTCTCATTCTATGTCACAATGTGCTAGTCTTTGTTCCTGTTTGTTCACTCTTGCGAGAGCAAAGGGTTTTCACGGTTACTTTATCTTTATTTTTCTCTATCTATGTTTACCATGTGCTAGTATTTGTCCCTTATACTTATTTGCTCACACTCTTGCAGGAGCTGAGGTTCAACACGAACTCTACTCTTTGGAGTACGTGTCAAGTCTCCATACATCTCACCACCATCCCCCACAGCCTACTTTCGAGCGGGACATACTGGTTTGGTTTGTTTTCTCTTATAGGTAAAATTAAATTTCATTTTGTTACAAGAGCAATTTCATATTCCCCTCTCTTAAAATTCCCACACAATACTTAACTTCCCTACCAACACTCTTTACCATAATCATGCTTTCATAATAGCCGCATCAAGTAGCGTGGGCTTGACACCCAAGTGGGGAACAAAGATGATAAGAACGGTAGAAACTTAAAGATAATGGCAATTGCAAGCTTCTCAGAAAAAATTTATATCTTTATAAAGACACACACAAAACATATCCAGTATATCCCACTTGAGGTACAGTGTGGAGGTAAAATGTTAACAGACCTATCGACTCAAATTTTTAAATGACACAGGAGAGCAAGAGCCTAATGGAAAAAGTAGCAAAAGAGTTTGCAAACATGCATCCAGTACAATGTACAAAAATAAAATCAGAGACAATTGTGAGAAAAATGTGTTAAGCAAGCAAGGAAACACTAAATCGCTAAAAACAAAGACGTACTAGGACAATATTTCCTCCTCCTAACAATCTGTTAGCTCCCCCGACCCTCTCCATATCTATGCTAGCTACTTGTCCCTACCAAGTCCGCTAACTTGGTTCTATATCTCCAACAATTCCTACCAGAAGTCATGTCCTCAGAAAGGTCTATGGCAGACATGTCCAGCCTCAACTGTTGCTCCCACTCTCTCTCTCTCCCTGTCACTTCTATCATCTCCCTCTATATTCTTCCCATTAGCCATAAGTCAATAATTGAAGTCCAGATCGATGTTCCAAGAATCAGCAATCGCAATCAAAAGCACTAACATTTGAAGATAAATTTTACTTTAGATATTTGTCTAAATTCTAAATTTATAATCTGAGGATTTTCAACTCACAAAATTTCTTGAAGAAGACGACTCTCCAATATCCCTCAATATTTTTGTCCAACAATTCAAAGTACAGCCCAGTCACACTCTAATGCATCCTCAAAGCACCTGCTATGGGATTCAACAAAGGGTGCTTCATAGCTTCTGAACCCACTACTCCTCATGTATAAGATCCCATACTCACTAATCACTACGACAGATTAGGGGTGCAACATAAGCAACCAACAATACACATCACTGATAAGTCTAATAAACTTAAATTGATGTAATTCGTTTTTGGTACAACAATTTCTCTGTATGATTCTGTTATCTTGCCATCTTTCACGAAGATCATAGCACTGGTAAACAAAAATTATGGGAACCATGTTACATCTGACATTTCTCAGTAGTTGCAGTTTGACATTTTGATAACTTGGTCATGTCAAACTAAGGATGCAGCATGCTCCCTCTGTCCCAGATGAAATGAGCTAAATGTGTTATCCCAAAATAAGTAATAGATATGACCTTCTAACTTCATAAGCTACATATTCACCAAATGCTTGTACTTTGTAGTTTGACAATGCACATATGTTTAAGAGTTGCAGATATCTAAAACTCTTTTCAAATGGCAAATCACAAGATAGATCAAGTATTTTCTATCAAATCTATTTAAACGCAACCTTTAACATGTCCTGTGACAAATGTATTTGGATCCTTGTAAAAAATATCAAAATCGTAAGTGATTTACACCTTAACAAGTCTCTGTAGTTTCATGTTTCGAGCAAAATATATTTATTTCAGGACAAAGAGAGCACAGTTACACTAGCTCTTATCTCCAAAATATACTAATTCCAATGGTTCATTTTCACTCTGACCAACAGAAAATGATATGCTGTTGCACCATAAACACCAACTTTAGCAAAGAAAGATTTGAAAAAGATAAATACCTCTGACCCTTCCAGCCTTCAGTTGAGTATGCATCTAGAAGGTTCTGTTCAATTTTCATTTTAATGAGAAGGTACCTCGTCCGCCTTTGCAGCCTGGAAGCTTCGTCAACCTCAACTTTGTTGTTTGTCCTCTTTCTCTTTCGCCTCTGCTTAAACTTCTCAGAAGTGGGATCCCCCTTTTCACATTTTTCATTTTCATTTGAACCAGTAGCAGCCAATTGCTTCTTTTGATTTTGGCAACTCACTAGAGATGGTTTGCTCAAGGATTTGCTTGCTTTATTAGAAGCATTTCTACGTTTAAACTCTTTCTTTTTGCTGTTGGTTAAAAGGTCAACAAGCTTTTTCTTAGACATTGGAGAACTCAAGGTGTTCCCATGGGGTTTTAGTTTTCTTGATCTCTTTGCATATGACTTTGGTGTGCTGCTTTGTAAGTGCACCAATTTTCCAATATTCTCAGGAGCTTCTTTCGTCTCTGCTCCAGTCATGTTGACTATCTATGCATCAAACTAACAAACAAAACAAATAAGTTGGTCAAATGTAAAGTAATAATTCTGAAAGCAATTCATACAGATGGTGCATGCATCCTAAATCCTGCAAAATGACATCATATAAACTAAAAGACGAGCTAACATTAAACAACAAAATCATGATGATGACAGTGGCTATGAAACCAAAAGTTTAGTTATTGACTTTTGCAAGGGCTTGCCCAAAATGACACTTGATGACAATCCATAGATTTGACAAACTTATGTGATGTTCCAGTATGGAATACCAAATGAATGGTAAGTGCAAAACAATAAACCATAAACAAACAATCTGAATTTCAAATCCATATGACATTGCAAAAGTAAACAGAAAACAAGAAACCCTAGACAAACAATTTGACATTTGACTTTTTGAAATTTGGCAAGTTAACGGAAGTTGAGTAATTCAAGCAAAGATCTTAGCTATATCCGATGTATCACCAAACAGAACGAGTCAAGTGAAACAAAAACTAGCTTCAATTTTAATCAATTGAAAAACACGGTGATTATGATCAATCATAAGTTACGAGTCGATCAACTTCACACATTAATCCTACTAATAAGTGTGCCTTATGTGAGGTGTGTTCCTCAAGGTACAAGCAGAAAACTGCAGCATTGCTACATGGGGCGTATCTTCCATCGACTGAATGATTATAAAGAGAGAAACAATTAAGAAATTGACACACACAAGAACTTAATAGGGTCCAATGATGAAAATGAATGCAATATTTAGTTATTTAAAACGGAAATGCAACAAGAGAAGTGTTTCTAGGGCAAGGGCTCAACAATCAAGAACATAAATAGCAATATTCACCATCCAAAACAAAAACCATCAAACGGAACCAATCAAGAACATGAATTTGTAACATAAGAACATTGGAGGGGGAGAGAGCACCTGCTGATGACAATGATCTGGAGCCGCAAAAGAAAGAAAATGCACATCTGTAGGCACACATATATGTGTACATCGGGAAACAAATTGAGTTCAATGGATGCACGATTGGAGCTCTTTCAAGAAAGAAATTCGAAATTCGAAGTGAGATATGTTAATGATCATTGAATTTCCTTACAATTTTGATCATCAACAACCTCAGTCTACTTCAGTTCCATCGTTTAGCTTTGATCGCCGGTCAGCCAACGGTCGGCAGTCTCCGAGGAGGTTTAATACGGCAGTGACGTCGATTCCATGGCGGGTTAAATACCCCTTTTTTCTCGCCGCCGTTTAACATTTCGTAAATTAAGGATAATATGCTGTCTTAAATTATATAATATTTATGCAAGGAAAATGGAATTGAAATGTAAAGGTACAAAAAAGCTCAAATCTGAAGCTTTTGTACTAAGGTTTTTTATCAAAAACTTACTCGATAAGTACTTATTGATAAAATTCAATACTATTATTTACTTATTCGGTAAGATTTTAGTCAACAAAAACGATTTTCTATACAACAATTTACCCTGTAAAAACTAATCGTGGTAAGAGTTATTGTCCTCACTTACCGGGTAAGACTCTCGGTACTTGCCTCGTTCTTACCAGATAAGATTTTTGGTTCTTACTGTATTCATCCGGTAAAGCAATATAACTCCGTAAACGCTTACCCAAGTAAGCATTTGATAAACGGCCCGTAAGCCCGGACCTAATAAGTACAAAACCTGGTCGAGGTCATGCCTCAAAGCATGATCAGACCTAAACACGAGCAGCAGCACCAGGTCGTGGTTTAGGTCTGACATGGAAAATCCCAGCCTAAAAAAGCATTTCATGTCCGAAAAAGTTTGACTAGAAAAAGCCCAATCGGGATGTTTTTCAACACCAAAGTTTGATCGGCCCTAGGCCTTAAAAAGTCCTGACCTTTTTTAATTATTGGTAAAGTTTAAACCTTTGATTCATAGAAAACTTAGGATTTACCCGTAACCCGGGTGTAGCTAAAACCAATGACCCTTTGGCAAGTGGTTAAGCTTTTTACTTTCCCATATGTTATCAATTATACTGTTTTTATAATTATCTGTATAAGAACAAGTTTTGTTTCGTAAAAGAAGAAACTGTCTGGAAGAAATATAACAGTTTCATCATATCAAGTTGAAATTTTAGTTTTCTAACCAATTCTCGAAAGACGTATGCCGTTGGTTAAGTCTATGTACATCGTTTGGTTTCTTTCTAGCAAACAAAGGACGAAAATGTAATACTGGAACCTTTCCGAAGAATAACAAACTACATTTTAGCAGTAGCTTTTGATCGTTGTTGTCGAGTGAGATGTGTATTGTTAGTCCACATTGCAATATGGCAACAATCAACTGACCTTTTGTACTCTAGTCATATCTTTCCTTTGACAGATTGTTGGTATCGTCTKTTTAGATTTGATACCGAAAACAAGGATCCGAGAAAAACACTTGCATTGCTTTGGGATTGTTTCTAGTTATGGGTTGTTTACCAAACACTTACCCGGTAAGCGTTTGCCCGTAAATTTAACACTGTCATTTCCTTATTCAGTAAAATTTTAGTCCACCAAAACGGTATTGTACGTAACAATTTATCCGGTAAGCGCTTACTGTGGTAAGAGTCGTTGCCCTCACTTATCGGGTAAGATTTTTGGTCCTTGTCTCGCTCTTACCGGATAAGATGCTTGGTCCTTACCATGTTCATCCGATAAGGTAATGTGACTTGGTGTTCACTTACCCGAGTAAGCGTTTGGTAAACAACCCCTTAGTCCTTGTCATATTCATCCGGTAAAGTAAAGTGACTTGGTAAGCGTTTGGTAAATAGCACCTTAAACTATGTCTAATGAAGTGTAATATTCGGGTTATTTAATTGGATTTAATAATTTAAAATTTTATGTTTATATGAATATTTTATAATGTTGTGTGTATGAGTGTGAAATTGTGATGGAAATGCGGCTTATGCACTTGCTATTTATAGCAAGTGTATATGAAAGGAAAAGGGTTGTTATTCTGGAGAGCAAAAACCAATTGAGAATAAATACTGAAGGAGAAATTTGCAGACATGAATTCGATCAGTATTATAAGGTGAGTGTTTTATGCTTTGATGTATCAATTGTGGTATAACAATTGTAATTGTTTGAAACGGTTTATTATGTTTCATATATTATTCGGATTTCATCTAAACCGCTCAAGTGTTAACCGGATATTTTCCTTAAACCGTCCAAGTGTTGACCGGTTTATTCTTAAACCGCCCAAGTGTTGTCCGGATATCTTCTTAAATCGCCCAAGTGTTGACCGGTTTATTCTTAAACCGCCCAAGTGTTGTYMRGATATTTTCTTAAAYCGCYCAAGTGTTAACCGGATTAAGAGCTAAACCGCTCAAGCCATGTCCGATTTATCTTTTCTACTCTAAGTAATTGTCCGAATTTCATATCCGGACAAGGTTGACCGGACTTCAAATCCGGCTAATGTGTTGAAGCTTTTGAGATGAAATGGCGGTGTAACCGCAAGAGAGATGAAATGGCGGTGTATCCGCGAGAGAGATGAAATGACGGTGTAACCGCGAGAGAGATGAAATGGCGGTATATTCGCGAGATAGATGAAATGATGGTGTAACCGCGAGAGAGATGAAAAGATATGTGATAGATATAGATAAAATGTTTGTGATATGCTGGTTTGATTCTAAACTGCTAGTTTAGAAAGTATGTTGTTGGTATGAGTTATATACACTCACTAGACCTTTGGGTCTAACGCTCAGTTGTTGGACTAACCTGTTTTGCAGGTCATCATACCTCGCAGTATAGAGACAAGGGAAAAGTTTAGAATTGATGACTTTTAGTTACTCATAAATGTATCAAAGAAAGTTTTTATGAATATGTATTTTGTAAACGATGTTACATTTTGTGTTATGAGAAATATCATGTGGATTATCTGTATGGTGGAAATTATGGGATGTTACAGTTGGTATTAGAGCCTTAGTTTAAGGGATCTGGGTATTTGCAAAATACTTAGACTTAAACTAGAGGTGTGGAAGTTATAATAATAGGTTTCACTGAGACTATGAACATGGGGAATATGTTATAGTTGAACCTATTATGAGAAAGATAAATTATATATGATTGATATAATCTGAGTTATGGATAGACTTGAGGATAAATGTGTTATTATGTTTTGATCATAAGAATAATCATGTGTGTTTAAATGTGACAGAAAGAGTTATACATTGAGAAATGGCAGATAATCCCAATCAATCAGAAATGATCTCTACTAGTTATAGAAGAGGTCGGGGAAGAAGAAACGTAACATAAGGAGAGGACCCAGAGAATGTGATGACGATAGAAACGCGAAGTCGTAGCAGGGGTCGAGGAAGAGGTAGAGGTACTAGACAAGAATAAGAACTGTCGGCCCAAGAAAGTTCAATGTCTGGCCATGGTAAAGGAAGGACAAGGGGTGGACACAATGTTCCTGATCCCAGATATATTACCCATGAAATGTTGGCAGCAGAGTTGGGAAAGTTCCAAGAAAGTTTAGTAAATTTGTTGGGGCGTACAGCCCAAAATAATCCAGAACTGGTAAGAAATTTCGATTATCAGGAGGAAGCCGGAGCTAGTACACCGGTAACTGATACATCTGTACCCCTTACTTCGTCCTTAGTACAAAAATGAGGAGATATCAAAATGTTTCTTGCTTGTAAACCTACCAAGTTTTCTGGTGAGCGTGATCCTATTAAAGCTATGTGTTGGCTTAACGAAATTGAACCGAGTCTGCAGGTTAGTAAAAGTGCAGAAGAAGATAAAGTCATGTTTGTTGTATCTCGTCTGAGATCAAGTGCTTTATACTGGTGGGAAGTTCTGTCAAGTTCAGATCCAAACATTTTGAAAACTATGTTGTGGGAAGAATTTATGATCAAGTTTAAAGTGCAGTATTGTCCTGAAGCGGCTGTGCGAAAGTTAGAAGATGATTTCTTTCGTCTTGAACAAGGAAACATGTCAGTCCGCCAGTATACGGAGTCTTTATGGAACAATCCCGGTTCGCTGAAGCTTACATCATATCGGAAAACAGTAAAGTAAGAAAGTACATCTGGGGTTTAGAATTGAATCTTCGAAAATATGTGATATCTAGGAATCCGACAACATTTTAAACAGCAGTTGATGCTGCTGAAATTCTGGAGCAAGACATTAACCGACAACCACAAGATAAAGCTGGAGAGAAAAAAGAGGGGGAAGCTACAGTAACTGATTTCCGTAGACCGAGGTTTATGTAAATTTTGAATCAACCAATTTTAAGGTTTGCTGATAGGGTGTGTACCCGATGTCATAAGATACATCAGGGAAATTGCAATACAGAATCTCGAGTATGCTTTAAATGTCAGGTTCCAGGACATATAGCTCGCGACTGTCGGATGACGCGGAGGTGTTTTACTTGTAATTCATCTCAACATGTAAATGCCGATTGTCCGCAAGCAAAGAGTCGAGGGTCTGGTTTTGCTGGAGGTCGGGGATCTGGATATTCTGGGGGTCGAGGATCTGGGTATGTGCCAACGGGTCGTGGGGATAATCGTGTTAATCCAAGTGGACGGGGAGGGATAAGACAGGCAGAGTCTAATGTAAGAGGGAGAGCCTTTCAGATGACGAGAGGCGAGGCAGAAGAGCACCCTGAAGTGGTAACAGGTACATTCCTCGTTAATTCAGTATGTGCCAAAGTTTTATTTGATTCGGGTGCAAATCGTTCTTTTGTGTCACCATCGTTTGTTAACTGGGCACATTTAAAATCTAAAGCGTTGAGTGAGGATCTAATTGTGGAAACAGCAAACGATAGTGAAGTTTTGGTTAAGGAAAGTATAGATGAATGCTTTATAAGTATAGAAGGGTGTGAAGTGCCTATACAATTGTTTCATTTGCCTTTAAAGGAATTTGATATAATTATAGGCACGGATTGGTTAGCTAAAAATCAAGCTAACATAGTTTGTGATGAGAAAATGATTCATATAGACTTATCAGAAAAAGGAAGGGTTGTGATTTACGGGGATAGACGGGATAGTTATTCTAGTCTTATCTCAGTTTTAAAGGCTCGAAAGCATGTGCAGAAGGGATGTATTAGTTTTCTTGCGTATATTATACACATGAGGAAAGAAAAAAAAAGATGAAAGATATTCCAGTTGTGAGGGAATTTCCTGAGGTATTTCCGGAAGATTTGATTAGTCTGCCTCCGGATCGAACGATAGAATTTCAAATAGAACTAT